GGTTACTGGCAGTCACTGTTATCTACTAACATAGCACATTTTAGGAAATGATAAATGTATCGATTCATTGTCAAGAATGCCTTAAATGCAATCAGCAGTGACTTAAACGTTTACAAAAACCACTGTCAAATTTATCAGTGTTGACTATATTAACTTTATAATCTTCAACATAGATCTATGTATATGTGCATGTATATATGAGGTTTTGGGGAAGGTATGGATTTATGTAGAAATGCCATGCTTTAGGTGTCAAATTCTGCTGATTATTTCTGTTTTTTTCCCTAGCTCTAGCACAAGGGTTTTCACTTCAAACTCAAAATTATCTGCCAGACAAATGTTATTACAACTACCTAGGTAATAAGAGGAAGAGATTATATATTTAAAATGTAAAATGCCTCAAAGCTGATTCAGTGCAATGCAAATGGCTTAACAAACAAGCCTTTGATTTGCCTCTGAAAAGTCCACTGGAACAGCTGTACGGCCACATGAAATGGCTGATTCATGTTTTATCAGAGAGCTTAAGGGGATCTGAGATCATTCCAGGCTCTATCTCTTCTTTTCACAGATGAGACACAGAGACCCACAGAGGTTACCTTGCACAAAGTCTAGCAGCTTGTGGAAAAAACAGGTCTCATAAATTCCAATGAGATGCATTTCCTTTCCCAAGTACTGATGCTACTATCCCAACTACTATCACAGTGAGACAATGATGAAAATGATGATAAATATTAAGTCAATACTTCCCACATGCCAGGTCCTGGGTTAAGTACCTTACACAAACAGATCACTTAGTCCTCAAATCAACACTACGCAATCAGAACTATTATTGTCCTTATTCATCAAATGATGAAACAGAAGCACAGTGAGATTCGGTAATTCACCTGGCCATACGCAGACAGAAGGTGGTGGAGCCGGGATGTGAACCCAGTCTGACTTAAGAGCCCACATTCTTCAACTGCTGCAACCAACCCACTGCAATGCCATTATTCCTACTTGAGAATTAGGTGTTTCTAATCAGAAAGCTTGAGAGCTTTTAATAAATAGCAAAATGTCATTGAGAATCTAACATTTTAACACACCATGTGAAACTCAGAGCTGCTGCTTCTCTTTGCTCTCTCAATCCATGCACTTATCTTTCTCTCTTTCTGTCCCCACCACTCCCCAGTTTTGAGAGCTTCTTTGAGAGCCCTGATTCAGCATCAATGATGCCATTATTCATCGAGTGTGACAAATAGGTCGGTTTCAGGAAATATGTGCTTCCCCTTCTCCATTTTGCCTATTTCCCACCAGAGAATGAATGCCTCTATCTTCATGCTTCTATTCACAGTTAAGAAAGAATTGCTATTTTTTTTAATGGAGAGAAAGGAAATCAAATTAGTATGGAAACCAATCAATGAATATACTAGTCACATATTTACTAGGCAGATTATTTACAATGGATGAAAACCTGACAGAATAGTAACCAAGAATTTTACTTTTTGCTAAGGTCAAGTGTGTCAGTATTTGTATAATAATGGAGATATTTGAAGAATAAGAAATTTCCCCCAAAATTTTATAAATAGACATTGCTCTATGAGTCAGGAAAACCCTATTTAAGGGCTAACTGGAACATGGTATTCAATGTGATCACGCAACCTAAAATTTAGCAAATTTTAGCCTATGTTTGTTTAAAAATCATTTTTATTTTTTTAAGTATATCTGAACATACTATTTATAATGAGGAACTGCAAAGACCCTGAATTTCACAATTAAATTTTATCATCTGTGCTTTAATGAAGTTTTTTTTCTGGTTAAAAAAAGTTTGTCTTCTATGCAGGGACGTGAATGATAGATTGTAGAAGGCTAGAGCGTTCTCTGTGAGCAATAATGGAGGGTTCCAGAGGATATGGAAAAGAAGCAGGAAAATAATCTTCCTTAAGCCTTATTTTAACCACATCACTCCAATACCCCCCCCTTTTTTTTTTACCATATCAGTCTAAACTGCTTAGTTCAGCTTTTAGAATTTCCTATCATCTGGCCTCACTTGACACATACAAACAGGTCTCCCACGGTGTCCCCCTAAGACACACCTCTTGCTCAGACCAGTCCTACCACCGTGCTTCTGCACGTTACCTTCCAGAAAAGTCCAATGAAGTATCATATTGGGCACCTTCCATTAATCGGCCCATAAAGTGAACTATATTTAACCCTTACAACAACCATATGACGTTGGTATTACCATTTCCATTTTGCAGAAAAGAAACTGTAGCTCAGAGAAATTAAAGAAACTGACCAAGAGAATCAAAGTAGAGACCCTGAGATTCAAACCCAGGTGTGACATCAAAGTCCAGGTGCTCTCCTAGACACCACGCTCCCTCCTCTTGTCTGGATGCCTGCTAGGCTCCCCTTGGACTGAACCCTATGCTTAACGTTTTCTTTAATTGACAAGTAAAAATTATATATTAATATATTTATTGTATACAACATCATGTTTTGACATATGTATACATTACAGAATGGCTCAATCAGGCTATTTAACATATGCATGACCTCAAATACTTATTTTTCCCCCCCATCCTTAACTTTTACGTTCAGTTTTAGTCCCATCTTCCTCTATGATGTCTTCCCTGACAATTTCAGCCTTTCCAGATTTTGTCTCTACCTGGGTTTTTCTCTAACACTCCAAACTTGTAAAATTTAGAGCTTAAATATTACCTCAGATGTTGTTTGATATGCATGCATTTCTTTTGCTTCCTAACTTATTTTTGGATTCCTCAAGGCCTCCCTGGGCTGCACACACAGTAGGGTTTCATGAATACTTAAAAATTATTCTGACACTCTCTGGCTTCCTGGGTTATATGAGAGGAACCAACAACAGACAGTAGGCTAAAGCACAGAATGGGTAGTGAGGGAGTCCCAGAACAGAAGGTGGGAAGGAAGACTGGGTCTATATAAAAAAGGACCTTAAATGTAGTCCAAGGAGGACAGATTTTATCTAGTAGGTAATGAGGAGTACTGGAAAGTATTTGGGAATTACATGGGAAGAGTGTCAGTTCAAGAAGATGTATCTGGTTGCATCTTGAATAACATCAACTGAACAAGGAAGAAACTGGGCTTTGTATAGGCATAGCATTTGTCCCTATTTGTCTCTCCAACTGTAGGAAATGTTTTACTTTTGTTGTTGATTTAAATCTAAAAGCACACACCCTGCATAAAAATACAATATAGTACTAACAATAAAGACAGACTGTTCCAGATTGTAGAATTTATTATATGAAGTCCCAAAGGGCTGATAAGAAGACAAATTAATTACAACAAACATTATGAACTACTTATTCACTTTAATAAAATACATTGAAGTTGCAGGAATGATGTTTAGAAATGCTAATTCACCCAATCTGAGCAACTAAAGGAATTCTCCTAGTTTAAAATTAGCTTTTTAAAAAATTATATATCAGGCCGGGCGCTGTGGCTCACGCCTGTAATCCTAGCTCTTGGGAGGCCGAGGCGGGCGGATTGCTCAAGGTCAGGAGTTCAAAACCAGCCTGAGCAAGAGCGAGACCCCGTCTCTACTATAAATAGAAAGAAATTAATTGGCCAACTGATATATATATATATAAAATTAGCCGGGCATGGTGGCGCATGCCTGTAGTCCCAGCTACTCGGGAGGCTGAGGCAGAAGGATCACTCGAGCCCAGGAGTTTGAGGTTGCTGTGAGCTAGGCTGACGCCATGGCACTCACTCTAGCCTGGGCAACAAAGCGAGACTCTGTCTCAAAAAAAAAAAAAAAAAAAAATTATATATCAATTTCTCAACAAATTTGCTTTATATGGCAAGGAAAAAGCTGTCAATAAACAAAAGATTCCCTATAAGCAAGTTAACTTCCTTTTACCTCCCAATCTTCCATGACCTACATCCTCCTCTCTTCATTTTTGTTTTTGTTTTTAACTAAATGAGAAAGTCATTCAGCTGACACTCTTATAAGTAGAAATAACTAGATGAAATATACAGTTCAAGAGATCTATTGTACAGCATGACTATAGTTAATAATAATGTATTGTATTGTTGAAGATTATTAAAAGTAGATTTTAAGGGTTCTCACCACAAAAAAATAAGTGAGGTAATGCATATATTAATTAGATGTAGCCATCGCCATTCCATACTGTATACATATTTCAAAAATCATGTTGTACATGGTAAGTATACACAACATTTACTTGTCAATTAAAAAAATAAATTTAAAAAAGGATGAAATATCTAAGAAAATGGGGGACACAATCAGAAGGGAAGGATCCAAAGACTTCCTCCACTAAGCCAAATGCTTCTTGATCTACAGCAATTGCATTTGACTCCTAAGTAGGCCTAAGATTCACCTAGGATGGTAAGTAGTAAAACAGCAGTCACTTGTGTTGGACGGAGTGAAGATAAAATGCCTCAAGGACAGAACACTAGCAACACGTGGGGCCAGGAGGCAGCATTTCCCTGAGAAACATGGAATTTTAGTTCATATGAACACTGACTGCTTAGGACACTCAGGGCCTCAGTAGGCCCTGGAAACCAACACCACATGTGCTTTGCTTATATAAACAGACCAGGGAATGACGTGAAAGTTACTGGCAAGGAATGGCATGACAAATGACACCTTTTCTTCAGTGATCATCACAAGAGGTAACATTTATGGCTAAATGGGTGTGGTTCCCTGACACACTGTGGTCGCTCCCCCATTATCTCGAATCCTTGGAACATCTCTGAAAATAATAATATCCCTCCCCCCTTAACAGGTCAAGAACTTGAAGCTTAATGAAGTTAAAGAAAAAAAAAAAATTGTCCAAGTTTTTTGCAAGTCAGTGGCAGAGACAGATTCTGAAACCAAATCTTACAGACTTCAAAACTCATGTGCTAGAGTTGGAAAGAATCAGTGTGAACTACATGGGAAAAATAAAACTCTAGAGTAATTAAAAACAGATGTAATGGAAGAATAGACCAGAGGTCCAACTATCAGGTGCAGAGAGTCAACTTACCAGCGTATTTCGTAGTGTTAGATTCATCCATGGACCAAAAGCAATAATCAAAGGCAAATACCTAAACAGAAGAATAAAATATTAAACTTAAAAATTAACTCCTTATGAGTAAATCAGACTGAAAAAAAATCAAAAGGAAGAGAAGGATACCCACTAATGTTTGATTTTTAAAAATGGCTACAGGTTTGGTGCTTTGTTAACTATGAAGGTTTTTTTAAAACTAAATTTACGGTTAGCTTCAGGTATTAGAGTGAGTTGTATATGAAAACTGTCATTCATCCAGAATTCAAATAACCAGATATCTTAACCACATTTTGAAAAAAAAAAAAAAAAAGATATATTTAATGAGAAAAAAAAACAAAAACCACCACTTCTCTCGAAGGCCACAGTTCCAGCATCCGTGGAAACCTTCTGGCTGGATCTCCCTTAGCTTCTCAGGTGACATGAAAATGATCACATTTCATTTAAACCAGTTCCTTTTCCTAGCTTTCCATGATATCATTTCTAGAACATCTGAAGTTCAAAACTCCTTACATTCCCATCTTGGACTCCTTTCCCTCTTCTGTTTCAGCATGCAATCTCTGGCCAAGTACTGTTATTAAATCAATAATTCACTCTTCCATAAATTTTCCATATAGCTACTAAATGCCTACTATATACCAGGAATGGCTTATGCTTCCTCCATAAGGACTCCCATCTAACCCATTTATTATCAAATGCATAGAGCAATGTTCTCTAAACTATGCTCCAAGGAACAGTAGACTCCTGAACTAGTCCACGAAAAAATGATTAAATCATGTTGGAAATGGTGCACACTTTACCGTATTTGAGATTCTCAATGCAATTCTCAATATTAAAGGCTCTGAAAAGTCCTCCAGTAAAGAAACCCATTTCTTTGTTTATTTCCCTAATTAATTTTGATGAGGACACTTCTTTTTTGAGTACCCTAACAACATGCTTTGAAACTACTATTTCTCACTATAACCCTTAGCAAATTCTGGCCCAGAGGACAGCAGCTACTTTCCTGGGTTCTTTGCTATTGCCTTTTTTCTCTCTTGCCGTCCAAATAGCAAATTACAAACCTCCCATGGACAGGAGTCCTTTAATGCTTAATCATTTCCAAGGAATCTTAAGCACTGGGCAAATGGAACCCATGCTCTCTGGCCTGGCATTTGAGAATGGCCCCAGTGAGACCCTTTGCAGTCTATTTCCCCCAAGTTCCTCATGCTCTGGCATAACTTGTCCTTACCTCAGAATTACTAGGTACAATTTCACCTTTGTTCTTGTTCTCCTCTTCCTACCACCCTTCAGAATACTTCATACTCCTTAAGACCCAGTTCAATACATTTTCTTCCCAGGAAGCATTCCTTGCTTAAATCCAAAGGAATTATCTTTCCCTTCTTGGAATTTTCACAACACTGTTTAACCCTTTTTTATGGCTCCTATCCATATTATTCTATTTTTCACTTATCATGCATATGATCTGTGTGTATGTTTTATCTCCACTTGTAGAATAAATTTCTTGAAGGCAGGAACTGTATCTAATTCATCTTTGAAGCCTGAAATGTTCACAGTAGTTGCTTTATAAGTATTTATTGACTGATTAATGCCATTGAGACCTTTCAAGGAAGGAGGACCTTTTACATCAAGACCAAGTTATGCTCTGAACGGTTTCAGCACCATACATACTTTTTAATGTTTTTTAAATTGACTCTGGTATATACAATGCACCTTACTTACAAATTCAATTTTGTTACATACACAAACATTCACTCTGGTCTTATAATAACCAAGTTTCAAAGGAATAGCTATGAAACAATAGTTTCAGCCAACAGAGTGTGGAATATTCACTGCATTCAAAGGCTCTTCCAATGACATGAGGGACCACACAGGTGTAATTCAGTTAATCTTCCTGCCTCTGGGTAAGACCAAACTTCAGCACTTCTCCTGAGAGATGAAGATCTGTCTTGTTTTTAAACATTACCAGAAAAGGAGATCCCACAAGCTCCCTTTAACGGTATCTTACAATACTTAACTTTCATTCCTGGGACATTTTCCTTTCCTTTTGACCTAAGTCAACTCTCCTTACTTTAAGTAGCCAACAGAGGCTATTTTCCAATTTTTTAAAAGTATCTTTATTGTTCTCTGGATACGCAATGAATTCTTTAATTGTTGCTATATATGGTAGAATAATCGTTTGTTTCCTATTTGTTAATTTTTCATGCCTATCTCAAACTTATTTTTAACAGTCTGCTATTCTGCATACAAGATTAGAAAGCTAGAGATTTATATTCACAGTAACACTCCTTGAAATAAAATGAAATCCACCCCAAATTAAGAGTCTACCTGTCAGTAAGAATCATTCCAAATTCTGTGACAATTTCCATTTCTAACAATGAAAGAGTTAATCATTTAAAGTTGTTGTGCTAATAAAAAGAAATGTGAAAAAAATTTTTCATCAAGCATTTACCCCCCAAAATTCAGACAAATATTAAAACCCCATAGAGGAAAGGGCCCTGACAGTACTGACAGATACAACTGTTCTTTGCTTGCCAAATACCGGCCTCCCCTTGAATTGCATTATGTCTTGAATTTCACAATCTTTGATCACAGGCATTTTAGAATGGTGATCCCTCAAACCAGTCATGGAGTACAGGATATTATATTACTAAACATTTACTAGGAAGAAAGACCAGGAATCTGAGTGATTTCCCTAAAACTCGAACCAAGTGAACAGAAAAATTCTTGTTACTTTTTTCTCTTTAATATCAGCTAGAAGTGATTCCCAGTCCCCTTGCCCTTCTATGAAATTCTGCAGCACTTTGTAGCTCCCATGGCACTATTCACATGTGGTTCTGTTTTATGCCTCAGTTCCTCTGTGTGGGTCTTACTTCCAACTCTAAATGGTGAGCTCCTTGGCAGCAGGGACTATGTTCCATGCACTCAGTGCCTGGTTCAGGACCTTGTCCAGGGAAGCCACTGTACATATATTTTTTCAATTAATAAACATATTACCTGGGGAAGGAGTTGGAATGCAGACAAGAGCATGGAATGGATGTGAGAACTGTTATGAATAAGCAGAGGTTCAATTGCAGAATATATTTTTTAGCTGTTTCATTATTTCCACATGCATGTTTTGGGGGAACTTGGTTCCGTCAATGGTCAAATCCGGATCTGGTCCCTAAATGAATACTGGGGTCCCCTTTTCACCATTATTCCACGGTTCAGGTGCATAAACAAGCACGGTTCACATCATGTACAATTTGCAGTCTGCACAGAAATTAGAACAATTACCTGCTTGACTGTCATTAGAAAAATTTGTTATGACTATTACTAAGGCAGTTTTAAAGATGTTTAAAATAATTTCTTTGGGCCAGGCACGATTGCTCATGCCTGCAATCCTAGCACTCTGGGAGGCAAAGGTGGGAGAATCACTTGAGCTCAGGAGTTTGACCAGCCTGAAGAAGAGCAAGACCTCATCTCTACTAAAAATAAAAAAAATTAGCTGGGTACAGTAGTCCCAGCTACTGGGGAGGCTGAGGCAGGAGGATCACTTGAGTCCAGGAATTTGAGGTTGCAGCAAGCTATGATGACACCACTGTATTCCAGCTGGAGCAACACAGTAAAACTCTCTCTCCAAAAATAAATAAAATAAAATAATTTCTTTGTCATAGGTAGTCTGATCATTTTCCTTGCAATCTCTTGTTAGCACTACAAACTATTTATAAACTATTATTCTTCTTTTCATGACCAAAATGTAATTATAATTGAATAATACAAGGTTTGTTACAAAAAGATACATGATTTTTTAGGTCTAATAATAGTTTTGAATTTCCAATAAAAATCCATTGACATTTCAAAGGAAGAGAACCAATTTTTTAGACTTATTCCCTGGAAACTGACCACTATGAACAAAAAGAAATCATTTTTTCCCAAAGCCACCACACCATATTAGAGAAATGTTATTTAAGACTTCTAACTAATTCCATTAAAATTCCTAAATGCTTATTTCATCTATTCATGAAGTCACTAGTATCTTAGCGGGAGTGTGGGAGACACAGGACTTCTTAAATGCATACAAGTGAGTAAAAAAATGAAAACAGAAACCAAGTATAAATTTTATATTTTATCAATGCCTATCACCATTGGGAGAACATTTTTTTGGTAAAGGTATTCATACCTTTTCAACCAGAAAAAGAGGCAAAAGTGCAGATGGTCTCTAGGCAATTTTAAAATCTGAAAGCCATTGTCTTCATTGTTTTCAACAAAATTTGACTCCTACCTTCTCAGAATCCCACTCCTTCCTCTTAGATGTCAAACTCATACCAGCGTTTAATTCCCTGCAGCTTGCTGTACATCTGTTCCACCTTCATCAGTCTCTTAAAAATGTTAGCTTTGCATTTTTGTGAACCACTCAACATCTAGTAAAGTTACTGAAGCTGTTTTTAATAAGGCAAATGTGTTGAGTGATATATATTCTGAGGTAACGGAGTTCCAGGACTTATGAGTAGCATACAGCATAGGCAAACTCCACTCTTAGATCTAAAAGTCCTATCTCTGACGCCATTTCAGCAATGTTCAATTTACAGTTAAAAAAAAAAAATGAAGGAAGTATTCTTCTATATTCCTTAGAGAACTGGAAGGATCAATGTTTTAAGAAATATAATCTGTAATTGTTTTTCTGATCCATAAAAACCTATGGTACTTTCAATTAAAGGTACTTTCAATTGCATTTACCGCTGTATCCCTTCGTTTACCCTCTGTAGTTGTGTGCTTTCATTAGTATGTTCACCTGTAAAATGTTTAATCCAAAAAGCAATCAGCTAATGCTCACTTGCCACCTTTTTCAGTTTTAGGTCCTATAGGGAACTCAAATACATATCGGGCATGTTTTCTGTCCTCTAGCTACTTACAATCTAGTTAAAAAGATAGACTATAAAATAATTATTCTGGAAAAAAGTGCATATATTTTTCCAAAATCATTTTACTACCCCTCACACACCCTCCCCAGGCAGAAAGTGATGAATCTAATACTTATAATGTCAAGATAATTTAATTTTA